GCATCACTTCGATGATACAATTAAGGCATTGGAGAATCAGAGTAGAACAAGCCTTAGAGATGTTGAGGGGGAGGTTCGATGAATTGAGGCACTGGTGAAAAACGTAACTACTGCTTATCAACGAATGCTGAATAAAATAAGAGATTGGACTCAAAATTTGGAAGAGGAGTTGGACAATTATTTGTATACCCTAGAAACCATCACCGACGTAGTGCATTTAGCTAAGGCGGGGGTCGTGCACCCTCAATTATTCACTCTTCAAGAACTCGCAAGTGCATTTTCGACATCATTTTTCGACAACGAATCGGGACCCATTAATGGTTCTATCCATCTCTACTGATGAACTACATTCAAATAAATTATTCAGAATTTCAAAAACGAAAATAGACTTTTATAAGGGTCAATTGTTTGTTACTCTCAATGTCCCACTGGTTACCGCAACTGTCTATCACTTATTCAAAATGTACCCCCTCCCAGCGCTTCAATTATTCGGTCATAAACGAGGGTCGGCGTATATTCAGCCACGAGCTGAGTACCTGCTGCTCGCCCAAGACCTTTATACTCTGGCTCAGGACCTCACCCACTGTCAAATCATCGATAATTACCATTTTATTTCTGAATCTAAGTACCCATTGTATGATAGTAATACTCATCCAAATTGTGAGGCGGCGATTTTCGGAAAAGAATCATTAGCATCAACCTTAATTGATTGTCCCATTAAGATTACCTCAACAATCAACTCTCATTGGAAAAAAAACACAAAAGGGGTGGTTATATTCAAAACCGAAAAACCAAGAAGTGAATATTAGGTGTGATGGTCAGTGGGTTGATGCCATAAACATCTCAGGAGCTGGAATACTCCAATTAACGAAAAGATGTCAAGCGTCTACATCTTCCATGACAATAATGGGATTTCAAGAAAATGTAAAAAACCTGGCGGGGAAATTACTGGGTGGAATCTTAATGTTACAACATTAGTGTATAAATGAAATTGTTTGCATTCTCTCCCCAAATACTATGTCCAACTTGATGAAATTTTACGTGAATGTGATAACCATGCACAAGAGAATAAGTCTCAAACTATGCTTTTTATTTTTATGTTAATGGGATTAGGAGTGGTATGCATTGGATTGTTAGTATTCATCCCATGGGAAGTATTTGCTTCTTTTATAAATATTATAAGACGGAGAGGAACTGATGTATGAAATGTTTATTTATAATAATAAAAAAGACTTTTTTTAGAAAAAAATAAAAATAAAAAATGTGTTAAATTTTTTTAACCCAATATTTACAACATTTTTTGAACCCATAGGGCAATGTATCGCTTGTACCTGGCATGGGAACACGTTTGTCGTCATGCCAGCTTAATGCTAATTTTGCTCCATTAATTGTATATACATTGTGTTGCATGGATCTCATTGAATTTTGGGGTTTAACAACATTCATGTGTTTTTCCAGACACGCCTTGTAGTCATCGAAGGTGGTGGTTTTGAGAGCTGATTTGTTCACTCCTTTTGCTCAGGATTTTTCCCTCTCCTCCCCAAACACTTTCAACGAGTACATTTTCGATCTCAAATCCACAAACTCTGTCATTATTTTCCCATTATGCTCGTCTTTCATGAGGCCCAATTTCTTCTTATTCCTAAGGAGTATACCATATTCATTATTTACAGGATAATTTCAGGTACCGAATTTATGCTAATCTTTTCTCATGAAATCATAACTATTTTTACCTTGGAAATGATAGATAAGACTATCCGTATCTGTATATAATAATTTTGAGTCTTCTTCAAAAGCACTTTTCACATAATTATAATGAAAGTTATAAATATAAATTTTTTAAATATCAAAAATGCTAAAATCTACGTAAATGGGCTTATTAAATTTGACTCGTGTGCGGTTCATTTGGATGATCACTAGCTCCTTATCAAAAATAACACTACTATGAAAATTGGGCTTTGAAATCCAAGTTTCTGCCCCCCAAGGGCCTTCCCACTTGGTAACCAGCTTGACGTCCATTTGCTTCCGGACATTCTCCATGGTTTCTCCAAATACAGCGTTATTCATGAGTTTGTAGAAATCTTTCTCAAACTCATTTTGCGAATTTTTCCGGTAGTCTGTGTTGAGGTCTATATATTTTTGCAGTCAAAAACTGTGATTGAACTTCAAAACTCGATGAATTCGGATCAACCTTAAGCCGAGACTCAAGTATTGTTTCAGATTTTCATGGTGGATGACATAATTCTTTTTTGAATTCAGAGTGGTAAGAAGTTTTGGTAGTTTGGATTGGCCATTGGGGGGGCATAATGTGTTCGGGGCATAGCAGTAAGTTCCGATGACTCATGTGTAACTCTTCAGGATATTCGAGGTTCACTTCGAATATGAAGCCCACACTTGAATCATCGGGAATGTTTTGGATGTTGAGTGAAGTTCAATCTTCCATCCAGGTGAAGTTTCCGTGTGGTAGATAATGGTTCATTGCGGCTCCGTATAAATTATTTATGTCAAAGTACATGAGGTATGACTCTGGCTTCCCAGATTCATATTGACCCACCATGTACTTATTATGTGCTTTGCCATATCTATTTGAGCATTGGGGTAAACCTTTTCTGACGCCGTTTTCCACGAAAAGCAGCATCTCCGGATCTTGGATTGACTCGAGCTCCACTTTCGTCATCCTCAGCATGGCATCAAAAGCAAGTCCAGGAGCAGTATAATAGTGGAGAGGATCTAGATTATATGCTTGGAAACAACTCTCCCGGAAATTCTCAAAAATATCACTTAATAGCAATACGTCAGTCTTCAGGTATAAATAGGAATATTCACCCAGTGTGTTGATGCCAAAATTTCTCCAAATATTGCAAGCGTGTCCATAATCCTCATCAGATATGTCGGAATCATTGAGAATTGAGAATAAAAATGTTCTTTTCCAGGTAATTTTCTTTCATCGAGTTTTTCCCAAGAATCCATATATTCATATGAAAATACTCCTTCGCGTGTGATGAGTCTGAGCTGGTTTATATTCGTGTAATAATTAGCAGCAATTATTTTTTTATCATCGGATAAATATGAATGCCAATTTATCAATACTGCTCGCCATAAACCGAAGCGAATCGATAAATATGAGATGAACTTTTGTTGATTCCACTGATTTTGTGAATAAAATAACTTTTTCTTTGTTGATGGGGAGTAATTTTACTGAGCCTTCGAATTGTTTGGCTAAAGCTTTGATGAAAAAATGTGAGTCATACCCAGATAAATTGTGAAAAACCACTGGAATTGTGCACGACTCCTTGAAATTAAGATTGCAGCCTGGAGGCGCTGCACCTCAGTATTTTCCCGTGTAATGACAGTGATCTCGGTGTTTTACTGCTTTCTCTGTGAAAATGCCTCCGCAAATATAACAATTTTTTGCTGCAGTACAGTCTCTCCACATATCTGCTGTTAAATACAAGGGTTCGTTTCGTCGCAATTCTATATCAACATTTACAGCTAAATTACGCAATTGTTCAAAAAACCACTCAACACAATCCCTCCCACGATAAACAGTTCCGACTTTGAGTCATTATAACTACACTTAACATATTACGCTACACTATATGGCACATGTTTTTGATAGATTTTCGTTTTGTCACCATTATCATGGGGTACTTTTTCCAATAAACATGCAGTATCAGCGTATACAACAAACGGGACTCGGAGCTGATGTTTGAAATTTTTGAACTTTCGGTATTTATCATTATTTTGAGGGAATATCATGCGACATTTATTTATGGATATACAATCCAATCTGTGTTTAGCATAGGATCCCTCTACTTTGAAATGACACAAGCATCTGTCGAATATAAATGTACGATGTTGAGTATTCGATATTTGGTTACTGAGTAATCTGGACAGGTTGGAGATCCATGTGTAATGATAAATTTTGTTCAGTCGGTTGTTGATCATTAATTTTCTCTATCATTAGCAGATGAATGGTGTTTTCAGCAGCGTGCAGTATTATTGGAGGTCGTGAGCTCAAATATAATGGCACGATCCATTCTCTCCTTGATTCCTCATCGCATTCAATCATGTAGACATTTATCGATAACTCATGCAGTTTCTCAGATTTTGGTATATCCTTTATAGCCATAGGACAATTGAACAAGTTTATTTTTTACACATTCCTTGAACCACTAGTTGAGATCGGTTGATTCTAAGATAATCTCATTTTTCGTACTGAAAAATTTGTCTTCTTCCATAAATTCTCCATTTTTTCGAACTTCATATTTACACGATAACACCACATTCACTTTTGAACCTCGTTCCCTTTTTAAAGCATTTTTAAGGCGTACACAAAGCATCCTCCGAGCATCATTCAAAAACGTAATTAAATCTTTTTTTTTTTTTAATTTTTTCGTGATCTTTGAGAGAGATTGACCTCGGAGGTTTCGACATATTCCTCACTTTCGTATTGTTCGTATTCAGAATAGGTGCTGAGACCGGATAGGGATTGTAGACAATAGAAAACACACAACATAGTTTTCACCTCGTGGTTTATTCACAAAAGTCAAATTCCTACGCTACTATTTACAAAAACGTCAGGAGACTGAATAATCTTAACAGCTTTCAAGCTGAAATAGTATCACACCAGTAATAATGTTCATAAATGGACTGTAAACTTGTTCAAACCACCAACGAGGCTACTTCAACGTACTACAGAACATAACTGACTCGCGACAAGTATAAAACGAAAGAAAACGGGAACTGATGTCGATAAGAAAGTGTTATCTAAAATATGCAAATTAGTTTCTAGATGTCGCATAGAGTATGAATCGACAAGCGAATCCAGTCAAACCGACCAGATATCCAGCAACATTTCTCCCAAAATTCCTGCTCTGCAACAATCCCAAAAAATTAATAAAAACATAAATAGACCAATACAAAGCCCGAAGACAACACCCATGATCCAAAAGTCCCTCAGACTCGTTCGAGGTAATCTCCTGGTCTCCAGCGGCCTCTCAAACTCCTCCAGCATCTCCAGCTGAAGCTGTCTCCACAGGCAGAGGGCACACCTTCGTCACAGGCCGAGTAAAGACAGAAGCTTGGGTTTCAACTGTGACCACTCGACACAGACCATCCTTCCCCAAGTGAAGCTGCGTGATTCTCCCCATAGGCCACTTCGTAGGTGGAAGCCTCTCGTCAACGATGAGCACTGATGATCCCAGCTGCAGATTAGGTTGGTCCTTCTGCCACTTACTGAAACTCTGAAGCTTCTGGAGGTACGTAATACACCAAAGTTCCCAGAATCGTCCCACCATTTGCCGGATCAACTGATATCTTGACAATCTCGAAACAGGAAGATGTAACAGCGAAGGCTCAGGAACCGTGGACAAGGCAGAACCAATGATGAAATGCCCAGGAGTGAGCACAGCAAATTCATCTGGATCATCAGCCAACTCACACAACGGTCTTGAATTCAAGATAGCTTCAACCTGAGTCAACAGGGTGAACAACTCCTCATAAGTTAGCGTAGCATCGCCGATTACCCTCTTCAGATGGACTTTCGCTGATTTAAGTGCTGCTTCCCACTTTCCTCCATGATGAGGAGCTCCTGGCGGATTAAAAATCCACTTGGTACCATCCTGAGCCAGTGGATGAGCAATTGTCTGTGCCTGATTTCCAGCAGCATCAAACAAACTTCTGAGTTCTCTGTCGGGTCCCACCAAATTGATGCTCTGGTCACTCGTTATTGTCTCGCAGATTCCTCTCCTAGCCGTGAATCTCTTGAAGCAAGCTAGAAAGGCCTCAGTACTATAATCAGTCGCAAGCTCAATGTGTACTGCCGATGTTGTAAAACAGACAAAAACGACCATAAAACCCTTGTAGGTTTTAGCTCCTCGACCCCTCCATTTCGGCAGCATTAGAGGCCCAGCATAGTCAATACCACAATGCAAGAAAAGACGTGCTGACGTGATCCTCCTCCGTGGCAACTGCCCCATGAGCTGCTTAGCAGCCACTCCTCGAAATCTTGCGCACGTGACACAGCGATATATAAGAGCCTTAACAACTCTTCTGCCTCCAAGGATCCAGTACCTTCTCTTCAGCGTAGCAAGCATCAGCTGAACACCGCCATGATACGAACCATGATGTGCCTGCCTCAGCACCAGCTCCGTGAACCTGGAATCAGACGACAAAATCCCAGGATGTTTGAAGTCAACCTCAAGTGCAGATTTGTGCAGCCTCCCAGTGAGACGCATGACACCGTCAGCATCCAAAAAAGGCACCAGTCGAAACAACTGACTCCCACGAGCCACACTCTTCGACTCCCTCAGCCTCCTGAGATCCTCTGAGAAATACTCCGCCTGAGTCTCCTTTACCCAGAAAACCCTCGCCTCCTCCAACTCACTAGGCTGCAACTCTAAATTCTCAAACATCTGATATTTTTTACTCACTTTCTCTCGCCTAACCAGAAACACCCGACGACACCAGGCTGTGACCACAATCAGCTTCCTCAACGAGCTGTATCTCTTTACTAGATCTCAAGCCTCGACCATCACCGCCGCAGAAGCAGCATGCGCCGACACGTTCCTCCTCTCCAAATCCTCGTCCTCAGCAACTGAAACACTCTGCTCCGGCCAACTCGACTGACCCTCCCTCAACCAGGAAGGACCAGTCCACCACAACTGAGAACAGGCTAGCTTCTTCCCGGATATCCCCCTGAATACCAGATCTGCAGGATTCTCGTCCCTAGGCACATGTCCCCACACAGCTCGAGGCACCAGCTTCCGAATCTCACCGAAACGATTCTTCACAAATTGCTTGTATTTCGAAGCCTCAGACTTGATCCAGGTTAAAGCAACCGAAGAGTCTGTCCACAAGTTCATCTCTATGCTCTCGATCCCCAATGTCTTACACACCGATACTGCATGACGAGACAATAGCGATGCTGCCATCAGCTCCAACATTTGAATGGTGACTTTGATACCACCCTGTCTCTTCCCCTCACGTATCGGAGCAAGTTTGGACTTCGACGATACTAGTGAAATGTGTACCTCACCATCAGACCCAGTAGCCTTCAGATACACCACAACTCCATAAACCACCCCAGAAGCGTCTTCAAATCCATGCAGCTCTGTACGAATGGTGGAATCACCAGTGCCAAGATGCCTCGGTACTCTAACTTCCTTCCAATCATCAATCTCTTGAGCAAAACGTCTCCAATGTTTAACAAACTCCTCACTCAATTGATCGTCCCAGCCCATCTGATCCTTCCACAGCTCCTGAACGAAGAGCTTCCCCTTCACCACAAAAGGGGCTACTCAGCCCAGTGGATCGTATAACGCCGCTACCTGTGACAGAACAATACGTTTAGTTAGTCGTTCTACATTCTCATAGGCCTTGAAGGAGAAAAAGAAAGCATCACGAAGAGAGTCCCAGCTGAGCCCGAGAGTCCTATGCAACTCCTGATCATCAATCGACAACGTCGATGACTCGTTCACCGTACCAGCAATATCACAGAGTAGCTCCGGTTTGTTGCAAGTCCACTTCTGCAACAGCATCCCTCCAGACGCGAAAACCCTATTCACGTCATTAACCTGAGCCTTGCAACCTTCTTCAGTGTCCGAGTCTCCATACACATCATCCATATATGTCGTATTCAGAATAACATCCCTGACCTCCGGAAACCGATCTCCCTCATCCTCTGCCAGCTGCCTAAAAGTCCTGCTGGCCAGATAAGTTGCAGATCTGGTCCCATAGGTTACCGTATTTAGCTGGTACTCGATGATCTCCTCTGAGCTATTCTTCCAAAGAATCCTCTGGAGATCTGGATCCTCCGGATACACCAAAATTTGTCTGAAACTTTTAGTGACATCGTCTGAGTACACGTATCGATGCCTCCTCCACCGAGTGATGACACCAAAAATCTCAGACTGTAACTTGGGTCCCTCATGGAGCAGATCGTGCAAAGAAAGCTTAGACGTCGTCTTGGCTGAACCGTTAAATACGACTCTCAGCGTTGTTGTCAGGCTGCTCTCCCTAATTACCGGATGATGCGGCAGATAATAGAGAATCTCGGAATAGTTCCACCTTGGAGTCACTCGAGTCATGTATCTTAGCTTCTCGTACTCATTCAAGAAACCACTTTACTTCTCAAAAAGCTCGGAATTCTCAGAAAAACGAGCACTCAGCCGGTTCAAAATCTTCTTTGCTAAGCAGTAAGAATCCCCTAATTGAGATGGGGATGACTTGAATGGCATCCGCACTATGCATCGACCACTCTGGTCCTTCGAGAAAGAAGCTCTGAAGTAATTCTCACATTGCTCATCCCCAGAGCTCATTTCAGCTCCATCGTCAGCGAATTCCTCTTGCTGCGCCTAAAACTTCCTCACGAGGTCATTCAGCTCACGATCGATAGAGATGTGGAAAGCCGAAGTCTCCTGATCCGTTACATCCTCAGACCAAACTTTCCCTGACAGAATCCACCCAAGAGAAGTTTCTTGAGCAATCGGCTGTTTCAGAGATTCTCTTCTCAGCCCAGCCTGGATGATCTGCGTATAAACATCAACCCCGAGTATCATATCAATCTCTCTGCGACTGCAGTACTCAGAATCTGCCAGTTGAAGTTCATCAATAACCGACCATTACCCATAAGACTCAGCAGTCGGACCATACTCAGTGAGACGAGAGAGAACAATAGTTTCTGCTTCGCACACTCGCTGATCCCAGCGAGAGAAGATTTCTACGCTGATTATCCCCTTGGCAGAAAAAGCATTCGCCCCTCATACTCCTGAGACAGTCACAGAATAATGCTTCCGAGGAAGACGTACCTCCTGAGCGAACCTCTCGGACACCAAAGTTACTTGCGAGCCTGGATCTATCAGCACCCGCCCTTCCACGAGTTCCGCAGTCCTCGACTTCACTTTTACCAGTGCCGTTGCTGGAAGAGCTGAAGACACCCCTGAAGCCACTACTGTGGACTTATCCTGAGTCACCGTATGCGTAGCAGGACCTGTACCTGGTGCTGAAGCCCCCCACTTGGGAAGAAGTGCTGAGCCTGACCTGAAAGACCAGCTCGCATCGACTGTTTTGGATTCGGAACTGAATCTTCAAATCCTTCATTATGCCTTGACTTCTTGAAATGAATAGTGATATGATGTTGCGCAGAACTGATCTGACAGCGTTCTGACGATGGACATTTATCCCTTTGATGCTGACCGAGACATTTGAAACAAAGCTTCAATCTTCTCAATCTGTCCACTCTCTGACTTATGGATAATTCCAGATACCTCGAGCAGGAAGCCAGACCATGACCTCTCTTGAAAAGCGCACATCTGTCCTGAGCTCTGCGAGTGCACTTGATGAACCTTCGCGCTGCCCTTCGAGGAGCCCGAAGAATTCTTTGTCGCACCACTCGTCGCTGAACTCGGTGCAGCACCCAAAGAACCTCCTGCGTAGTCGGATTGAAAAGATTGCAGCAACCTGATCCTTAAAATCATGAACTGATTAAGTACCTTCCACGTAGGTGGCTCAGGTGAAGGTCCAAGAGTCCTCTCCCACTCCACCAGTGAAGCTTTATCGAGCTTCTTCACCACTATATACACGAGAAGATCATCCCACTCAGAAACTGGCCTCTTGAGAACCTCGAACGCCGTTAGAGCTTGAGTAATGTCTATATACAACCAATCAAGCGACTTAACCGAGTCCGCTACCACTGCAGGAGCATTGAAGAGCAACGACAAAGCATTATTGACTAATGTTCTTTTATTGTCGTAATATTCCATGAGGCTATCCTACACTCACTGATAACTTTCCCCTTGTGAGATAGTGATATTCTGAACCCTTTTCGCAGCATCTCTCTTGAGATGACTTTTGAGTAGGTAAAGCCTCTGGACCGATGGCAGTCGAGGATTTTTAGCCATCAATGTGAGATATAGATCCCGAAAATTCATCCAATTTGCAGGATCACCATCGAAGTCAGGGATTTCCCACTTCGGGAACTTCAGACTCGCGAGCACCTCGTTTGGCATCGCCGTAGCAGCAACTGACTTATGCACATTTCCACGAGTAGCCTCCAACTGTTCCTTCTGCGCCTGCATTTGCTCCAGCGCCAATAGATAGGTCTCCTCGCAAGCCTCGTACTGCTTCTCGTTGAAATATCCAGTATTCTCAAGCGCCGTACGAATATCAGACTTTCAATTATACTTCAGTCTCCAAAGCGTGGCGTGGTTATCTTGATACTTGGTCCACTTCGAATTCAGTACCCTCACTCGAGTGTCCAATCTAGCAGAGGTAACCTCCGTTTTCAGTAATGCAGCATAAGTTCTTTCAATCCCCTCCGCAAGTTCAGCCTGCTCATCAATCAGTGAATTAAAAGTTGCCATGGTCAATAAATAGAAAGAGAGAAATTAACTATTGCGATAACAATATCCACCATTCCTCAACGGTAACGATTTCTTTTATCGATCGTGGAACATCTCGTGGACTAATGATAACACATCTAATCACTGATGGTAACAATGGAAAAATCTCGCTTACCGACCTCTGACCACGGAAATACCTCCGCCGGTAAGCCACCGAGCTAAGTGCTCGACCCACTGGAACAGCAGCTCCAAATTCTCGCAGCGTCTGTTTCCGTCACAAAATGGCTGAACACTTCCCGCTAAAACCGATGCAAGATTCCAGCGTCGATTCTTCCGTTGCTTCGTAGCTCCCTCCCCAGCAACGGTGATGAAAAAATTCTAGCACGATGATCTCCAGATCCGTTATGGATCCGAGCCCACCTCAGCACGACAAACAAATCAAAGCGCCCACAGACGCCAAACCCAACCACCACGTAATCACGTCGACTTCTCGACGTTTCAACCACTGTCCCTAGCACAGGTCGAGAACCTCCAACCAAAGCCACTCTTCGAATCACGAACTGTCTTCAAATTTCCACAGCCACAATGAGTTAGTCAACTTCAGCAGTGTCTCCCCTATCCGGCTCGAAGGACCAAAATGTTCGTGTTCAGAATAGGTGCAGATACCGGATAGGGGTTGCAGACAATAGAAAACACACACCACAGTTTTCACCTCGTGGTTTATTCACAAAAGTCAAACTCCTAGGCTACTATTTACAAAAACGTCAGAAGACTGAATCGTCTTAACAGCTCTCAAGCTGAAATAGTATCACACCAATAATAATGTTCATAAATGGACTGTAAACTTATTCATACCACCAACGAGGCTACTTCAACGTACTACAGAACATAACTGACTCGCGACAAGTATAAAACGAAAGAAAACGCGAACTGATGTCGACAAGAAAGTTTTATCTAAGATATGCAAATTAGTTTCTAGATGTCGCATAGAGTACGAATTGACGAGCGAATCCAGTCAAACCGACCAGACATCCAGCAACACGTATAATTATTAAACTAATGAATCTTTCACATTTTATGAATCGGATAATGGGGTTGTGCACAGAATTTTTTTATGATCTTTGAGAGAGATTGACCTTGGAGGTCTCGACATATTCGTTAATCTCGTGTAATTTTTCAACTAATAGACCTTTAAATTTTATGATTCGGGTATTGGAGTTATGTGGGGAACTTTTCTTCATGGAAGGAGGTATTTTCGAGGTGTCTACTACCTCGGAGTGGTGCCATTCGCAATAAACCAATAATGTTCGAATAGATTTTGTTCTACAATAAAGTAATTAAGCATCCGGCTGGGGTATAAGAAAGATTTCAGCCATATCATTGGTGGACGATGGTTTTTCTCTCTTGCTCCATCAGTAAGTGACCTGTTTTATCCATTTTTCCATGTACCTAGTGCAAAATCCAGAAAAATTGTTGGGGTGGGAGTTGCTCTTCCTTTCTTATAAATACAGTTTGCCTGTTTTTCTTAATTCACAACACTCTCACAAGTTCTTCGTGAAGAAAGGCAGTTCCTCCAAGTATTCCATAGTTTTTGAAGAGTATCCGATCGAAAATGAATTCTCAAGTGCATCAATACGTGATTCGTCCTCCTTCGGCTTGGACGAGGCATTATCAGCCTGAATACCTTGGTGAGGAATTGACGAAGACAATGGAACTTCACCTCAATGAGGAGGTAATTCTTCAACATTTTCCTATATGTGCCGCTCGGGTGGATTTGGATCCTCCCACCATACTGTGGGTCACCGTTGTGGCTGACAGTCTAATGTGGGAGTTCCTGCTGGTTGAAGATTGTGAGAATCGTACATCTCGCTACATGGCTCATAGGAGAGAGCAGCAGCAGCAGAATGATGAACCAATGGAGATGGTAATGATCATGTGGGGATGTTCGTTAGGAACACTAAAAACGATCTGGAAACAGCGAGACTCGTACGGCGTTGAATTAAAATCCGTGAGTAAGAATCCTAGAGCGAGAGAGTGAGAGTCCCTTATCCACTTCCGAGTGGCTTATTTTCTGCTAGAGTTATCGGTTCCGTTTATTAGTAAAGATTAGTAATTACGAGTCTTTGAGGGCCCAGAAAAATTATCGTGAAGGAGGACCAAAATTATAGAGTCATCCGGTTCTTTTAGTCGCGATTAATTGTCGTTAGATTCGCACCTTCGAGGGGCGTATCTGCACCAATCAAAATTCGGGTGATTGAGCGGTGAATTCCGCGCTCTGAAGTATCTCGAGATGCTCGTGAGTTCGGCGTTGGCCCTCGACCTCACCGGAACTAGTGCCAGTACAGTGCCTATCCTAGGATTATGGTACCTACATTTGGATTATTGTATCTACATGATGGCGAAGAACACCCCAAAGAGGGGTAAGAAACCCAAAGTTAGTTTTTAGTTCGGTTTATTTATTTTTCCGAATTCATTTCGGCTTTTAGTTATTCGACTACGGGGTCTTCAGCCCCGTACGTCGCATTTTATTCCGTTAAAACGGTGATTGTGATGCTTAATCCAAATTGTGAGGTGCAAATTTTCCCCCTTTTCACTCATGATTGGGTTGTTTTCGTGATTTTTGGTGGGTTATTCGAGGGGATTTCTCCCCTTTTTGGGGTTATTTCCGGCTCAAACCCGGCTCCGATCACACTGTGCATCGGCTTATTATGTTTTTTTTTTAAAGATCTTTCATGAGAATCTATCGG